AAAAAAAAAAAAAAAAAAAAGCCACAGAAAATAAGTGTTTTCTTGAACTCAAAGTGCCTGATGACGGGGACAGCAGTGAACCTGAAGGCTGGGAGCAGGTAACCTTTTACCAAAGCTTCAGTGCCCCTGAACAAAGAAAGGACTGGAAATCATCAGAAAGGGTTTGCTCACAGACAGCCTGCTCCTCAGCGACCACCGGCAACTCGGTCAACTGCAGTTCCCTGCAGAATCTTTTCTAGATGGTACAGCTTTCCCAGTGTGTTGATTTCCTTAGCTCAGCCTAAAAACTTCAAGAAGTACTGTACAATGAACTCTTCAGTCAGGGTTTAATGCAAACCCGGAGGAGAGCGAGCAAGGAATAGTGATAGAAAAAAATGAGAACAGCATGTGGTCCATGCCCTCCAGCGTCCATCTCCTCCTCCGGTAACTATTAAACAGCAAAATCTCAGTGTCAACAGTCTCTCTCCCAGGGCTACATCTGCAGGCTGCCAGAAGGCAGCTGAACCGTCCTCCTGTTTGCGTATCTTCCTCTACCCATTTACGCACAGCAGGGACACTATTCACTTTTCATACAACCCTCCTTCAATACTCTGAAAGAAATTTTACCTTTAAACACTTTATTGGGCACTGGATAAGGGGCAGTGGGTGGGTCAGGTGATCTTAGGGTGATGTTCCTTTTTTTTTTTTTTTTTGCAGTTTTGAACCCACCACCTCCAGTATATACTCCTTTGAGCCACAGGCACCACCTGGGTGATATTCTTTTGACAACAAATGGGCCCCCAAACCATAACAGGCAGAGTCAGGGGTGGCACCACGGAAGCCACCATGGCCAGGTATCCTTCCACAGGAGGGCTTGGAAGAAAGTGGTGTATTCTCAGAGGCTTATCAAGCCCCCATCTGTGCTAGGGATGTCAAAATATTCTATCCTAACAAACTACTTAGGGGGCAGATTTCTCTTCTGAACCGAAACAATTCTAAAGACTCCTGGGGTCCATGAAGAAGCATCTTTGTTCCCACTGGGAACCCCAGCAAAATGTCTGTGTGCTCTTTCCACTTTACTGTCCAATTCCTCTGCAGCTTTTCACCACTCCTGCTATGAAGAGAACATGCCAACAGGAGGCGAGGCCCCAACCCAAACTGAATGACAGGAAACCAGCTGAGTACAAAAGACAGCAGAATGACTGCAGGAAAAAAAGTGCAGAGCAGAAACTTTCAGATAATGTTGCTGCACAAATCCCTCCCTGACGGTTGTTTCTCAGTAATTTACCTCTGTTGGAGCTTTGACATAACCTTTTGTGGTAGCTTGGCTACTAGCACAAGCTCTGGAGCGAGACTGGTTCAAATCTCAACTCTGCCATTTATAGTTGTGTGATTTCAGGCGTGTTTTTTTGTTTGTTTGTTTGTTTGTTTTGAGACAGAATCTCACTATGTTGCCCTTGGTAGAGTGCCATGGTGTCATAGTTCACAGCAACCTCAAATTCTTGGGCTCAAGTGATTCTCTTGCCCCAGCCTCCCAAGTAGCTGGGACTATAGGCACCCGCCACAATGCCTGGCTATTTTTTGTTGTTGTTGTTGTCATTGTTGTTTAGCAGACCCAGGCCAGGTTCCAACCCACCAGCCTCAGTGTATGTGGCCAGTGCCCTAACCACTGAGCTCTGGGTGTGGAGCCTTGGGGGTGTTTTTAACAAGCTCTGTGCCTTGGTATCCCAATCTGTTAAGTGGGGACAATAATTAAGCTACTACAAGGATCAAACATGCTAATATATGCAAAGCACTTAGAACAATGCTAAATGGGGCTTAGTGCAGTGCTAGGATCACCCCTGTAATGCTAGCACACTGGGAGGCCAAGGCAGGTGGATTGCTTGAGCTCAGGAGTTTCAGATCAGCCTGAGCAAGAGTGAGACCCTGTTTCTACTAAAAACAGAAAAACTCTGGGTGTGGTGAGAAGCACCTGTTGTGCCAGCTACTTGGGAGGCTGAGGCAGAAGGATCCCTAGAGCCCAAGAGTTTGAGGTTGCTATAAGCTAGTCTTATGCCAAGGCATTCAGCCTCAGGGCAACAAAATAAGACTCTGTCTCAAAAAAAAAAAAAAAAAAAGTTCAAAATTGTTTTCACATCTATTATCATAGTTGTTCCACAAGCAAATTATAAAACAGGCGTGATCTTTTTATCCATGTTTCACTCATGAGTATAGTGAGGCTAAGTGTTTGTTAAAAACAACTAATCCATGGCTGAGCCAAGATTGATATTAAATTTGGGATTTTTATTAAACCTAGGACTTTTCCCCCCTTGCATTAAATTATCGACAGGTAAACCACAGCAAATTAGCTATTATAAAATATCGACACTAGATAAATTCAGAAAGGAAGAAACCAATTGAAAACATCATACCTATTCTAGAAATTCATTCTTAGAATAAACAAAATTAAATGACCTCTTATATTAGCTAAAGTAGCTAAAGCTGATGTTTCCATTCCTTGTGTAGCAATCTGCAACTCTCAAAGTTATGCTGTAAGGAAGGAGAAGTATTTATCAATATGTATTCTTTATTCTCAACTCTACTCTTTATGCAAATAGGTAAACTCCCATCTTGAGAAAACTCAACAAGGTGATTGAGTTAGTCATTAGAAATGGAACCAGTAAAGGGTTTAAATGTTTCCATGAGAAGCTTGCCTTCTTGTTGCTACTGTAATTGAAATGCCAGCAGTGACCTTTCCAGTCACTGAAAAGTTGGTAACATTCAGGCTGTAGAATCTAGAGAACAGAGAATCTCATCACTTGGAATGCTTACACACATGACATTTAGGGCCCAAGGTAGGAGACATGCAGAAGATTGGTAAATATAAATAAACAACTAGTACGTATTCCTTCTTCCCTGAAGAATTTTATAATTTAGAATATTTGAATAGATCCATAGGGGAGATATTTTTTTCATGAATAACACTCTTCATAGTATTCATTAGCATCTATTTTTAATTCATGAAGTTTAAATGTATTATCCTTCAAAAACTTGTATGAGTCTTCTATTTAATAAGATCAATCTTTTTTTTTTTTTTTTGAGACAGAGCCTCAAGCTGTCCCCCTGGGTAGAGTGCTATGGCATCACAGCTCACAGCAACCTCCAACTCCTGGGCTCAAGCGAGTCTCCTGCCTCCGCCTCCCAAGTAGCTGGGACCACAGGCGCCCGCCACAACGCCCAGCTATTTTTTTGGTTGCAGCCGTCATTGTTGTTTTGGCGGGTCCAGGCTGGGGATTCGAACCCGCCACCTTAGGTATACATGGCTGGCGCCTTAGCCCGTTGAGCTATAGACGCCGAGCCAAGATCAATCTTTTAATTTATGAATCTAGTTTGATTTTCATGTGTATGATAACAAATCATTCAAAACTTTTTTAAAAAAGCATTCTGATAAAGCCACATTAAAAACTAAATTTGAAGCAAAGATAGTATGCAAAAAAACTATAGTCTTAAACACAAAGACACAGGCAAGCTCTGTGTGTATAGCAAATCACACTATACATAAAATCAGCTCACCATGAGCTTCTGTCGAGCCTTAATGAAAGTCCACACAAGATACCGAAGAGTAAAATGCTTCCTTTGGGCTCATTTGACCAACTGACATTGAAACATCCACCCCTCCAAGTCAACTGATGTCTATTTTATAGCTAAAGAAAATTCCCTTTCATTTTAATACTGAAAATTATATTTTAAATACAAGATCCATAATGTTCTAGAAATATGTCTCTCAAATCCATCCAGATGATTCATTCCTTAGATATATATTTTAAAATCTATAAAGTTTAAGTAAATCTCACTAGTGAACACTACCAGGACATAAAATCATAAATGATTATTTAGGTCAAAATATGAGTTAGATTTTTGTCTAATTGTCACGGTTTATCCCTCAGTCACATGCTTATTAATGCTTTAAGACCTATGATGAAGCTGAAAACAAATAACTAAAAAGAACCATTATGTGTAGTAAAATGATAACTGCAAAAAGTAGAAATTCCTGAGTAACCATTTCATCTGCAAAGATAGGCTTTTAAAATTCTTTATTCCTATGGATAATCCTATCTGGTAGGAGGCCAATAAATACATATTTGTTGACTAAATGACCCAGCACCCTGAACAACCTGAGCAAATGATGTATAACATTCCTATCACCATGTGTCACAGGTACCCCCACCTCTCCGCCTCTTGCCTTAAAGGTAAAGCCACATCCCAACACCTCTCTTACCTGTTTCCCGTCCAGGGTGTACAGGCGTTTCACCACTCCCGAGTCCAGCTTGATGGCATCAGTGATGTCAGTGAGGACCTGCTCAAAGGAATGAGCAGTTTTCTTGTTCAGCAGAATCCTGACAGCTTTCCGTGGCTTCACCCCACTTCTGATGATGGTGACCAGCTTGGGCCGAATGAAATCCTTATTCTCTCGCACCTCTGAGGGGCTCCCTTTGGCCGTGGCCAGGGAAGACACCGCCCGGGAAGCCGAGGTGGTCTTGACATTCACCGACCAGTTGGGGTTCACGTTCTTGGTATACTCCAGTTTTTTAAAGGGCTCTATGGAACCGCACACATAACTCTCTCCTAAGGAAGAGAGGAAACATTCAAATTCACTCTCAGATAAACTCATTTCTCCTTTCATGCTTAGTTTTCAATTTTTTCTTTTCTACTTAGGCATGAGAGCTAGCTCTGACTTTTAAAACCATGTCACTGTGATTAATAATTAATGAAAAAGCAAGATTTCCAACTTTTATCTGGCTTTGTCAGCAACAGAGTGTACCTGGAGGTAAAACATCATCTTCTTCCATTTCTTCATCTTCAGGTTGGTGAAAGAAATATGGATATGCTCAAATAGAAAGGTATGAAACTAACTGAAAAGAGAAAGTATTCTTTAGGGTTTATGGATATTTAAGTTCACAGAAAACATCACAATTGGGAGTACCCACATTTGCTACCTGAGATCATTCAGAAACTAAAGATGAATCAGACCACATCTTAAGGTTTGGCATCTATAGCTCAAGTGGCTAAGGTGCCAGCCACATACACTAGAGCTGGCGGGTTCAAATCCAGCCCAGGCCCGCCAAACAACGACAACAACACCAAAAAAATAGCCAGGCATTGTGGCGGGCGCCTGTAGTCCCAGCCACTTGGGAGGTTGAGGCAAGAGAATCTCTTGAGCCCAGGAGTTGGAGGTTGCTGTGAGCTGTGATGCTACAGCACTCTACCCAGAATGACAGTTTATGGCTCTGTCTCAAAAAAAAAAAAAAAAGAAAAGAAAAAAGAACACATCTTAAAAGAGTTAAATAATTTACAAATTTTATGCAATAAAAGTCAAATAAAATTCCAAAATAACCTTCCTTTCTTCCCTCCTATAAAGGGTTGACTATAGTGAGAAAGTCTATTCACATTTGCTCACAGGTCAAAGGTTCAGCATACAAATTGTAGTTTCATAAACTGACTCTAAGATAAATATAATTAAAGTTTTATTAAAAATGACTCCTTAACAGAGCATCTTTTAATGAAAATATTCAGATTATTAAGTGGACATGTATCACATGCAAAAGAAACCAACCATGTGCCAAGCGACGACAAATTGTAAAATGACTGATTCTAATAACATATTTCATAAGGTTAGGTCAAAGCATTTTGAAATGAAATATTTTATAATGACTTTTTTTCTGTATTAATAAGTCTTTATAAGCAAGAACAGATAAAAATGCTTAGAAAGCCTTTCTTTTCTTTTTTTTTTTTAGAAAGCCTTTCTAATTGCAGGTAAAGAGACCTAAGTCAAATCCAACACAGCACATTTACTTTTATCTAAACTTTTGTTTTATTTTTAAACTAACAGTATAAATATCCAAGGCCACCGGGGTTTCAAAAATAAAAAAGTAACAGTTATACAGGTTATGGAACATTTATTTCCAAATGTTTTAAGAAAACACTTTTATGTACATACATATCCAGCATGCCTCACCAGAAAGTGCACAAACAGTGCACGTTTAACCAAGCTGCTTGCTCTTCACCTGGCAGACCATAACTTGTCCCGACTATGCTTCTCTTTTGATTTAAATAGATATCAAAACTATATACGTGGGTGCTGCAACAGTGGTGTTTTTGAAGGCTTTATGGAGGGACAGCATGAATGTGATTGTATGAAGAAAGAATTGGAAATTCTCAAGACCTGACCTCTCTAAACACATGACCAGGGACAAGTACCAAACTTGGTACTTAGATTTCTGGGTGGTGGTTTATTCATCTGTAAAATGAAAATTCATTGGGTTTTTATGAAGCTCAAATTAGATAGTTGAGATCAAAGTGACCTCATTGCAAGTGAAAATGACCTGAGGCCACATTACCCTGATGAGGCAGTGAGCCTGAAGGGAAAATTTAAAACCAAAATTACTGGAAATCAGTAAGCAGAGCTCAAGTTATAAGCTGTTAATTGTGCCTAGTTACCACTAGACACCACACTGGGTCCATCTCAATGTGAGAATGTCCCGAACACTCCTCAACAAAGCAAATGGCAAAGCCAGCTTTTATCAGAATTCTGTGCTAAATGAAGATACGCTATTGTCTGATTATTTGTAAGTTTATATACCAACCTAACAACTAAAATCAAAACGAAAATATAGAGTGGCTCAAAATTCAACAAAGAAAACTTCTCTAATAAAAATAGTGAATTATGGGCTGGGCATGGTGGTTCACTCCTATAATCCTAGCACTCTGGGAGGCCAAGGTGGGTGGATGGCCTGAGCTTAGGAATTCAAGACCAGCCTAAGCTAAAGCGAGATGTAGTCTCTAAAAAAAGTGGGCATTGTGGTGGGCACTTGTAGTCCCAGCTACTTGGGAGGCTAAGACAAGTAAATCACTTAAACCCAAGAGTTTGAGGTTGCTGTGAGCTAACATGCCACCTACTGAGGTTGACAAAGTGACTCAGTCTCAAAAAAAAAGTGAATTAGAAGAGGAAAAGAGTTTTAAAGAACATAATGATATGAAATGGGTTTGTTAAAAGGGAAAAGAAACACTTTTTTTTTTTTTTAACATCTTAGATAAAGGACATGGAAAATTTTTAAAAGGATGAACAAGTCCTGTGATGACAACGTTGAGAAGATAATGGTTTGGCCTAAGCAAGGACAACAAGAAGCGTGTGTTCATTTTGTATGGTAACCATGAGGCCTTGCCCTGATTGACAGATTTAAAAACTGGAATGAGTATCTCAGAGAAGGATGTGAGACTCCATTAAAAGATAATATTGTACTAAGAGGAAAGTAACAACTAAAGAAAGAAGGAGTTGCCACCAAGTCCAAGATGTCACACACCACACTCACATGGTGTTACTACATATTCAGGAATTCAGGAAAAGCCCAGATGGGTTTTCTTATGCTGGTGTGTTTCCATTTGATTGTGCAAACAATTTTACATCAAGTCTATGTGCCCTTTAGACTACTATTTAACTATTTTTACTGTAATTATAATTCTGAACTTCTCTCTATCACTAGAGATGAGGTTCCTACCATAACTTACAGTTAATTATGTTTTCTTTTCTTTTTTTTTTTTTTTTTAGGGACAAAGTCTCACTTTGTTGCCCTCAGTAGAGTGCTGTGACATCACAGCTCAGAGCAACTTCCAGCTCTTGGGCTTAGGTGATTCTCTTGCCTCAGCCTTCCAAGTAGCTGTGACTACAGGCGCCCACCTATATTTTCTGATTTTGTAAAAACATAGCTTTCAATTAATGTGCTAATATCAACAATAATTATAAATTAAATGTGATTGCTCTGAATGGTAAGAATACATAGTCTTAATTTGGTCAAATAGCACTGGGTAAACAGTGTCTAATCTCTTCCTTAGTCAGACGAAGAGTTAAGTGATAAATTATAATCTTGTTTAGAAAATCATTTATAAGTTGCATTTAATGGAATGAAGTATGTGTGTGTATTAAGGGCCATTTAAAAATAAAGAGATAAAGTAAGACTTATAATTATTGTTATATACTGCCCCCAAAGTCTTTTTGGTGTAACTTAAGTAGCAGTAACACCAAAGAGAATTTACCTAAAAAAAAAAAGTATATTTGACTGAGACAGTCCAGAGTTTGCTTTTAAAGTCTGGCATTACCTACTATCGGTGAACTTAAACAAGGATGGAATGGTTGCAAAGATCTCAGAGGTAGTACTGGAAATTACAAAATGAGTTACTGGTTGGTAATCATACAACAAAACCAGTTTTGTTTCAGTTTGTTCAATTTAACAAATTCTATGATAAAAAAAAATTCTAACCCTCCACTTGAAATTTAATAATCTGGGTGTCCAAGACACCCAAACAAACAGCAAGAACTGTGAAGCAGCATCTTCTTGAATTGTTGTGACATTTGCAAAGGCCAAAAACTAATATTTGCTCGTAAGAAAAGAGAGATATAAAGAAAATGACAATTATATAAAAAGATAAAAGGTAGGGATCAAAAGCATGAAATTATGTTTGGATCCAACCAGTACCAAAATGTCAGAATATGGTAATCTCTTTCCTAAGAGATTTAAGTATTTTCATGAAGTTGGAGGGTGAAATAATTTCTATATAATCATATTAGATTATTTTTAAGATACTGAAGAGTTCTCGGTATTTTGTTTTTAAGAAAATCACCTATATACTTTTAAATTATAAGATTTCCCATTATTCTTCAAAGTTCAAGAATAAACTTTTTCTTAATAAGGTTTAGTATAACCTGCAAAGGTAATTCTACTTGGCCATTAGCTCTCATTATGAAATTAAAATATTTCCACTTAAAATTCCCTAGGTACTATAAAAATTTCTGGTACTGTGCTATTAGTTTCTTGGTTGAGTAGGCCTGGTGTGTCAGCAATAAAAGTGTACTTCCATGAGAATCCATATGGGGGGGGTCCCTAGAAATTTGCACCAATCTCCTTCTTGCTGGAGTTTTTCCATTGACCAAGAGTTGTGACTTCAAATTCTAATATCACTGGACTCAAGGCTGAAAATGACCTCATCTCTATCCTTCACATTACTAAAGCTAGTTGCTACTTTCTCTAGTATTTCTTTACGATCAAATATGACATATTCAAAGTATCTTCAGTGAAGGATATCTGCCATATATTTCATTTTTTCCTTAGTATAAGCTCTCTTATAGAAAACTCTGGCAATAAAATTTCACTATTATGAATTATGGCAAAACCTGGGAAACACTCAAATATATATTGAAACCTCTAAAACGGAACTTAGTTAAATTACATGAAAGATTATTTATAGAAGGAAATATCATAAAGTGCCTTCTGGATATTATATTTTATGAGTCAACTCAGCTATGTGCAGTGACATTTCATAATCTACCTGAAGTCTCTGGTTTAAGACAATTTTGATAGTGCTATTAAAGGCAAGAAAAAAGATGTCCCAAAGGTGCTTCTGGGTCATTCTTCCATGGAAGTCTTTCATGATACAGTAACACATAAAAATAAGCTTGCAGGGAATGTAAATTTGAATGTTATGTCAGATCTGTGGAAAATTTCAACTGCGCAAATCCAAAGAAATACAAAAACATGAAGGAAAAAAATTGAGAGGCCCCATGTTTTTCAAAT